CGTCCACCCAGCAGCTCCTTGGAAGTTAGGCCTGACAATTAACCTCGGGAACACTAGGCCTGAACAGTCCAGAGAACACACTTCTGCTCCGACACACGTGGGGGCCTCACGAGTCAGAATTGCCTCCGTGGTAACAGAGTCTGCAGACTCGGCATCTGCAGGCACGAGTTTTTCTCCATTGTTCCATTTTCTGTCACCATCCCAAGGGCCCCTTCGATATGAAGGTGGTAGACACCTGCCAGGGAAAGCTAAAATGGATCTACTAAGTCGGAACTGGAGAAAGATGGGGCTTTTCTACACCTGTGAAGAGTGGGAGCCTCAGAACCCCACAGGGGCAGTTCTACCCTGTCCTATAGGGTCCCTGTGAGTGGACATTGTCTCAATGGCAGGAGGTTTTCTCTTTTTGTGAGCTGCACAGGGCTTTCTTAAAGAAATGGGAAATTCCCTTGCAGCTCACAGCAAGCTCAGTTTATTGCCCACAGTGCTTTCTGTTTTATTGAATTCCTGTCCTCCGTTCCCTTTCAGCATTCTGGAATAGTCTCTGCAGACTGACCTAACCCCCGAAGCAGCAGCAGCCCACACTTTGCCTAGTGTAGGATCTAAGTTGGGCTTATGACCTAGGAAATGTCTGGAGACTTGGAGAGGATGTTCAGAAAGCCACCAAGGTTTGCTAAATAATGGGGAAATTTGGCTGTGAGGAAAAGACAGGGAAGGAATTAGGAAGAAGTCGAGGAGAGGAACGTTGAGGGTATTTTGTGGCCTTCAACTAAGTATGTGTTACTCAGATGGGCCAGTCCTTTCTCCCGCTCCTTTGTAGAAGGCGCCTGGGTGGTGCTGTGGTTCAAACGCTCGGCTGCTGACCAAAGGTTGACAGTCGGAACCCACCCCTGCTTCACGAGAGATAACGATGGCCATCTGCTTCCATCACACCTGGGAAACCCTGTTGGAGCCGTTCTCTGTCCCACAAGGTCACTGCAAGCGGGGCTCGGCTTGACGCTAGTGGGCCCATTAGTAATATTTTTACAAAATGCCTTTGGATTATGGTGGCCTTGGATTAGGAGAGTCCTGGGAGATTCTTGGTTATTCAGGTTGACATACGTCAAGACTGGGAGTACTGGAGGTAGTGAACGACTTAGGTAATCGCTGTCCATTTCTCCGCCCTCGTTGGCAGGCAGGATTTAGTGACAAATTCTTGTCCGCTGTTCTAATTCCGTTATGCTTTATATCTGTGTGGGTAACACTGTCGGAGAGCTATTATGAAACTCAATTCTGGTTTCATTTCTTATTTGTCTCATTTTTTTATGTCTTTAGTCCAATAAGGTGTATTGTTATTTTATGTTTTGCTGATTTGTCATCTTCTTTGAGCTTTAAAAGAATCAGCGCTCCATTGCAGCTACAGTATGCATGCACACAGCGCTTGTACACAGCTGGGTGGTCCTGGGCCCTAGTGACCTCTGTCCTCTTTGTTATCCCTTGATCAGTTAATGGGACTCCCAGCAGCCAGCTTTCTACTCCTAAGTCTACGAAATCCTCCAGCTCCTCTCCAACCAGCCCAGGAAGTTACCGAGGATTAAAGGTATGACACAGATGTGTGACATGCGTGTGTGATTTTGCTGTCTTGACTTGCATAGATTATTTATTAACTTCATTTGCTCAAGAGTGAGCATGGGGCAGGGTAAAACAGAAAATTTAGAATCTGGACCATACTGATCTGTCTTTGGTTTCTGTGTTCTGTTTGGTGCTGTGGTGTTTAGGGTCAGGCCATGTAACTCTTGTTCCTGATGTGTTCCCAGCTATGCAATGGGATTGCACAGTTGTGGTTACAGTTACACGTGATGTGAAAATGTACAATAAACAAAAATGTTCTTACGATTTATAATCATGTATAATAGACACGAATGTTCTGATATTTTGTTCTTAGGAAAATGATTTGCAATACAAAGCCTTGCAAAACACTATAGCTCTTTTTACTATCTCATTTCAGAGTTACGATATTGAATGCTAACATAATATGATAGGAACTGTAGTGGTACATTGGTGAAAGCGCTCAGCTTCTAATGAAAAGATCACCAGTTTGAACCCCCTGCCAACCACACCAGGGGAGAGAGATGAAGCATCTGCTTCTTTGAAGAAACCTCATAGTTCTACACTGCTCTGTAGGGTCTCTCTGAATCCGAATTGACTTGAGAGCAATGGGTTGAGTATGGGTTTAACAGAATTAGACTTTGTTAAAGTGAACTGTTTGTGCAGTCGGCTGGGTTGTCTAAAGAAGCAAATCAATGGCGTTCGTGCATCTACAAGAGAGAACGTTATGTCAAGAAGCAGCTGTACATCAAGAAGGCGCCCGAAGCCCAGCCCAACTCAAGTGCATAGGCCTGATGCTAACCAGGGCCCTCTTCAGACTCATGTAGCTGCAGGCGGATGGTGCTGAAAAGTGAAGGGGGAAGCCAGGAGATCACAGGCCCGTGGGTGCAGAGGCACGTGGGTCCAAGGTTGGTAGAAACATGGGAAACGTGGAGGGGCACTGACAACTCTCTGGGTTGGGTGGCCCACATGGGGCCATCCCTGGAGGCAGACACAAAGCCCCTGTGAAATCTCAGCAAGGAGGAAGGCAGAGTGTCAGAGAGAGTGGGTGGGGGCGGAATTCCCAGTTTCTCCCTTATAAAAGGCCCCACCCCTAAGGAGGTCTCATCAGGCTGTGACTTGATTGGCAGGTTGGACTCCACCCCTCCACACAGGTCCATCAAGTCCACATGACCTCCACACAGGTCCATCAAGTCCACATGACCTCCACACAGGTCCATCAAGTCCACATGACCTCCACACAGGT